TCAAGTCCTTGTCTGATATGACTTTAAACTCCTTCAGAACAGGCATACATGATATCTTTCTAGTCAACCAAATTCCGCACCAGTGAGCACCGCAAGGAGTTGAGCTGCTTCTGGAATTTCAGGCCAATTTCCCTAATCTCTGTCATGCTTAAAACCATTAACACTTGTATTAAAAATAGATTAAATGATTTCCTTGAATCCAATATCATTCTTCCCAATTCTACCTTTGCCTACAGGAAAAAATAGATCAACCTCGATTTGCCTAAACCAAATGCTCCATCAAATTCACATATTAAAAAGTAAAAAATTACAGGTAATCCTCTGCTCTAACGACATCTCAAATGCCTACAACTGTGTCGACATTGGCGTACTTAAACGTCAGCTCACTAATCTGCAAGTTGACAATCTATACATCCAATGGATTACTAACTTTCTCTCTTACAGAATTTTGCAACTGGGCAACTGTAGCACTGAGATTTATAATGGCCTACCTCAAGGTAGTGTCCTCTCTCCCATACTTTTCAATATCTATACTGCTCAGCTTCACGACCTCAGTGATTCAAACACTTTCTTTCTCTATCAGTTCGCAGATGATTTTTTGTTCATCTCTGCTGGAAGCCAGTTCGAGGACGCTGTAGATAACCTACAAGACAAACTATGCCTTTTTGACGCTGAGTGTAACCTGCTCAATTTGACATTCAATCCTGCTAAAACCAATGTTATGCATGTAACTAAAGGTCCAAGAAAAGAAATTGATATTTTCCTAAACAACAATAGGATTCCACAAGTCAATGAGCTTAAAACTCTAGGCAGAACGCTAAACAGCACCATGACCAGCAAAAACCATTATGCCTCCACGGTTGAGGCGGCGTCTGGAAACATAAATTTCTTTAAATATTTGACCAATATAAAATCAGGACTTCATCCTCAGAAGGCTTTAAATATCTATAAATCCATAGTTCGCTCAAAGATTGAGTATGGTTACACTACAGCTGCCAACAATGCCAAACCGGCTTTCAACAAAATTACAGTACTCCAAAACAAATTTCTAAGAACATGTCTTGGCCTCACTCCCTCAACCCCCGTTTCCACCATCTACGCCATTGCGAATGAGCTCCCACCTCCTGAGCGTTCTCGGTGGCTCACTGCAAAAGAGCTGATTAAGATCTTTATCTATAATACTCCTCTGGCTAATTCCATCACAGAAAATCCAGGTTTAAACTCAAGTTACTCTACAGTATACCGACAGTATCAACACATTTTTGACCGTCTTGATGCGGTTGACTGCTGTTCCTCACCTCCTAATATTAAAATCTTGCTGAAAACCTTTACAGGCAATAAAGCCTCCTTAACGTCTGAGTATCTCAAAGCGCATTATGCCAAGCTCTTGAATGACTATTTGGCGGATGATTATCAGAACATGTACA